TGAGGTTTATGCCTAAAGTCAGACATGAGTTCTTGTGTATGTAAATATCAGCTGTGCTTGCTATTGCAAATATTTAGACAAATTAAGTTCATTAGCAAATCAATTAAATAGGGGGGATAGGCATAGAAAGCAAACAGGGATAACAGAGACAATGGGAGGAGGGTTGGACAGGGCAGAGGGTTAGGGATAGGGAATCAAGGATGGCAAAAGAGAAAAAACTCAAAATATACAAGACATAAGAAATGGAAAATTGTTTGTTGATAACACATATGTTGATGTACTTGATTGAGCCAACAGACAATGTATTTTGGATGAAAAATTCATTTTGTATACTGTAATGATGTATAGCATATTAATGTTAAAAAATAAAAACAAATAATAAAAAAAAGAAAGGAGGAAAAATCAAGCTTTCACATATACTGTGTCCTCAAACAGAAGCTGATCTCTAATCTACTTGGAAACTCATGCCAATGTAACCTTAACCTTAAATTGACCTCTCCTTGTGGTCTGAGTTAAGAATGGCTTATTTAAGCAGTGCTGCTTCACTTTTTCTGAAACACCTCAGGCTCACTCTTGCCTCGCAATCTTTGCACAAGCTGCTCCTTCTCTCTGGATTGCCCCTCCCCCAAATAGGTGACTGACTGACTCTGACATCTCCAAAATTCCCTCCACTGTTGCTCTCCACAGAGGCTAACTCAGACCATCCCATTCTAAAATGTGAATCAAGTCATTTCCCTAACTCTGTGGATACCCTCGCTTTGCTGTATCAATCTACAGCCTGTATTACTTTCCAACATGGAATGCATTGTATTTTATTATATATAATGCTTATTGTCTCTCTTATTATCTTCCTATTAGAAAATTATCTTCACAGGATGAAAATCCTTGACTCTTTTATTTATTGAATAATGATAAGTTCCCAGAAAAGTATCTATAATAGCTCAAAACCAATACTAAATGAATGAATAAACATAGCATGTATATCAGAATACATTATATAAGTAAGTAAGCAGTAAACAAGTGGTAGCAATGATTATCAAGTAATTCTATGACAAATTACTTGGATTCCAAAGGCGAGTACTAGCAGAAAACCATTTATTTCCACCATTAAAAGGTCACATACACACACCACTTGATCCTTGGAAAGGACTAATTACTGACCATTCTGGATAATCAGTTCTTGTGCTAAGCATAATAAACACAATGGCCAGTGCTGGACTGTTTATTTGCACAGACAGGTAGTAAGTTTCTGTCACATTTTCCAAGACATATCTCTGGTCCTTCCAGGGAACCCTTTCAGCAGACTGAGGACCAGAGCCCTGGAGCCACGTTCTTCGGACCACTTTAATTCTTCATCAACAAGGATGGGAGGAGCCACGTGTGTCTACCCGCCCCCCACTGCCTCCTACTGGCCACAGAAGCCCACGTGCCCACTTGCTGCATTGGCTTGACGGCAGGGGGGGGGGGGACGTGCAGAACACCACACACTGGGGCTCACGTGAAAGGCGTGTACTGGAGTTGCACGGGTAGTGCTGTCCTGCCGTCTCTCCTCAGGGCGCTCACTCGTGCGTGGGAAACAGTCCTCAGACCGTGAGAAAGAGAAGCAAGAGGCCGCTCCTTTGACGGCTGCTGTGACCTGGAGGGGTCGAACAGAGGAGGCGTCGTCGTGTTTGTTCTCTCAGACGCAGCCCAGGCCTGTGGTAACAAGGCACCATGCTCAGGCTTCTGAGACGGGCCATAGCGTTCTTCCAGAGAAGGGCAGATCCCACCGAGGAGCAGCACCCACATCAAACAGAGCTCCCGCAAGGTACCCATTTATCTCCTAGTGTCCCCTCCCCCTAGGAGCCTCTCCAGAGAGGATCTCCTCACTCTTGCTTAGGGGCCAAAAATTAGGGCAGTGACTGCGAAAGGAGGTGGCTCCATGTACTGTGGGAGTGCCATGAGGAGCACATAGGGGCGGGAATCCATGAGTCCCTGTGCGCTACAGAATTAAACTGGCATGTTCTCAATCCCAAAATTCTCCTGTGGGTCCACAGCAGTAAAGTGTTGGCACAGAAAGCCCTACTGGACTCTTAGGCCATGTGTTTCTCCATGAACCTTAGGTAGCTCAAGCTTTTTAAATCTTTCTAGTAGATGAGAAACCCCCCCCCCCAACTTGGGGGTGGATTTTGTTTTGTATCCCAAATGGGCAAGTATTTGAAGCCTAGTAGACGAGTTTTTGTATCTGGAAGGCAAGAGACCATTGTGTAGGCAGAATGCTACGATCAGCCCCTATACATTACTCAGTAGTTTGTCTTCTGCAGAATTATTAAAAACAAAGAACAACAACAAAAAAAACCCAACCACAACAAGAATAATTTAGACTCAGTTTTGGGAAAATTTAAATCTCCAGATATATTTTTACACACTGTCTGGTGAGATCTCTCAGAATCTATAGGAGTTGCTATTCATTTGTTTGGTGAAAATGATGATGGTAGTTAATAGTAGTGGAAGCTTAATGTCTCTACATATGCAGATATGATGATAACAATTAACACACTCTAATTCGTGCAAGGTACTCATAGCTCTAAACACTTGACATGTGTTAATTCTCACAACTCTATTGGGCAGAAATTGTTACTGTCCTAGTTTGATAGACAAAAGCAGAATCAAAGAAGTTTGGAAATGTGGCTAAGGTTTCCTAAATGATCAGCACAGGACCACCAGTGCTTGAACTGCAGATCTAATGAGACCTGTTTGCCTGTTTCATAGGTGAAAGCAATTTGAAAACTACACAGGGAGTGGTGACAAGTTTCAGTAGTGATTATGGCTGGATTAATGAGTCCATCTGCTTCAATTGCAATGCTGTGATTAGCAGAATGCCTCCAAAACATGGACTTAAAGTGGTTCAAGAAGAAGATGAAACATCTCATGAGGTAAAAGCAATCAAAGTAGGGTCCAGCAGTTGGCATAATAGCTATGTTGCTGGATTCCCATGTAGTTGACCATGGTTTGAGTCCCAGACACGGTGGCTTAAACTCATGCCGGGTGTGTGTGCATGTGTGCCCTAGATCCCAAGAGGAGAATGGAGGAGAAGGAATTGCAGCGCAGCCATCCTTCCTGGGGGGGATTTCCTTTCTGTCTCTCTGTCTTTCTGGTGAGCACATGTGCCCTATAGCAAAAACCTCTCCAGAAAAAAAAAAAAAAAAACAGTCAAAGTAAGATTTGTATAAATTTGCACATTGTCTCTTAATCTGGTGGACTTTCACTCTTTCTTTTCTTGTGTTAATCTAGCCTCTCTAATGTGGCCTGTAGAATGGATGGAGTGTAATTTCAGTGCCCCACTCCTCCCACTGCAAACTCTGTTACCCAAATATTTGTAGTAATTTCTGATTTTAAGAAAAAAATGTGCACCTGTTCTTCTAGTATGTGAATGAAAAGGCTGACAATGGTAATTACTGGGCTCTATATAATCCTGCAACTTCCTTTTATCAGGTTTAAAAGATATTTTCTGTAGGGTGCACTCATAATACTGGAATTGATGGATCAAATGATGTGTATTTTAAATCTTGTCAACAGAGATTTATTGAAGTATGACTTATATACCAAAGAATTCTCTCAAGAGTTCAGGGATTTTTGTGGATTGACAGTCTTGTAAATATCACCTCAGTTCAATTATTTTCCATTCCAATGCCTATTATCAAATTATCTTTCAAATTTATGTTGCTAAAAGATTCTCTGAGCATCAGTGTGACGGCCTCCTTGCAAATGCTAGCAAGGATAGGACTCTGAAATCTTTGCAAATATAAGAAGTGAAAAGTACTCTTAGAATTGTATCTGTATTTCATTAAATGCCAGTGATAATGTGGCAGTTTTCTTTGAGCTTTTTGAAAAGGAAAGACAACTGCAAGATAAAAGGTATAAAGAGAAAAAAAAATATTGATTGTACAACACTAGCACAAAATAAGGGCCAGATCTTTGGGCATGCAGCCAGATCTCTCAGAAGTAGGAACTGAGAAGTGACAAACATGCTCCTGCATCTGAAGAAGCATGTTACTCTTAACAAAAAAAAAAAAAAAAGAAAGAAAAATGTGATTAGTAAGTTGTTTAGAAAGAGTTCAAATTAGTCAAAGGTACCAGGGAACTGTCTAGCATAAATGGAAAAAGGAATAAAATTGGGCAAAAGCAGAAGGTATGTGGAGCAATTTATCGGTAGTAGGATAATGGTCCCTTCTTGTTGTCAGCAAGGCCGACTAGCCTTGTCAGTGGCTGCTGTAAGGACTTATCGTGTTGTTATGATGGTTTCATGGATGTGTACAATGTCAGAACTCATCAAAGTGCAGTTTATTGTACATCAATTATACCTCAATAAATCTGTAAAAATTGTCATAGTGTAAAAAAGAAAAGTTTATCATGTGAAGACGTGTCCGTGAAGCTCAGTCTTGAAAACTAGAAGTAAGCAACAAGGAGACTGCCTATAACCCTTCCTATTCTGTTTGTAATATCTTCGGTCTTTATACATTTACACACATCTTCTCTGCCAAAACCTTATTTTGACACCCCTATTTTGACTTTTTTTTTTAAGCATACTCATTTTGAGATTATTTTTTCAACTTTTCTCTTGCTTCTTCCCCTGGGATTGGATCTTTGAATGCTATGACTTTGCTCCCTAACCCCATAATTTGTGGTTGGTTTTCCTGTCCCCCTGCTCTCAGCTCCATCAAACTGCTATGCGACAGGTAAGATCTTTCTTTTCTTTTAGAGCCCATCTCAGATCTTCTACTGTTTCCATGTATTGTCCCTATTTTTTCCCAGTCTGAAATTTCAACTTTCTTGGGAAGTAACAGAGACCTTTGTTTTTTTTTTGAAGAGGTTTTTGCTATAGGGTGCGTGCACTTGCCAGACAGACAGAGAGAGACAGAGAGATAGAAAGCGAGAAATCAACCCCCAGGGGGGATGGCCATGCCACAATCCCTTCTCCTCCATTCTCCTCTTGGGATTTTGGGCACACACACACACGCGCCCGACGTGAGTTTAAGCCACCTGGTCCAGGACTCGAACCACAGTCGACTACGTGGGAGTCCAGCGACATAGCCATTATGCTAACTGCTGGTCCCCAGAGACCATTTTTGAACATGATTCATAACCTCTATCACAAGTTTCTTGGAACTGGATGAATTTCCATTGTATTCTCATAAAATTGTGAATTCCTAGAATGGAAACATGGCATAGTCTTCTTCTTTGAATGCAATGCTAAGAGGGCATTAAGATTAAGAATGAGGACCAGCATTTAGCGTAATGGCTATGTCGCTGAACTCCCATGTAGTCCACCACAGTTCAAGTCCTAGACCCGGTGGCTTAAACTCACGCTGGGTGCGTGTGCATGCATGCCCAAGATCCCAAGAGGAGAATGGAGGAGAAGGGATTGTGGCGTGGCCATCCCCCCAAGGGGGGATTTCTTGCTTTCTGTCACTTTGCCTCTCCCTGTCTCTCTGGTGAGTGCACGCACCCTGTAGCAAAAACCTTCCCCCAAAAAAGAAAAGATTAAGAATGGCATTAAGAAGCATTTTGACAATACGCAAAGCATTGGCATTATTTTTATAATTGCCTCGTGTCTACCACTTGTTTACCATGTGAAATATATTCACAGGGACCAGCAGGTGGCGTGGTGGTTAAGGTGCTGGACCCACTCCCACGTGGCTGACCATGGTTCAAGTCCTGGACCTGGTGGCTTGCTTTCTCACTTCCCATCTGTCTCTCTCTCTGTCTCTCTCTGGTCAAATTAAAAATAAATGGATGAATAAATTAAATAAATAATTATTTAAAAAAAGAAATATATTCACAGTAGTTAAAAATATTAATTTAAAACATTTCTTGGGGGAACCAGCATTTAGCGTAATGGCTATGTCACTGGACTCCGCCATAGTCGACCACGGTTCGTGTCCCGGACCCGGTAGCTTAAAGCTCACGCTGGGCGTGTGTGTGTGCGTGCCCAAGATCTCGAGAGGAGCATGGAGGAGAAGGGATTGCGGTGTGGCCATCCCCCCTGGGGGGTGATTTCTCACTTTCTGTCTCTCTGTCTCTGTCTGTCTGGCGAGCGCACGTGCCCTATAGCAAAAAAAGAAAAAAAAGAAAAAAAACTTCTCAAAAAAAAATTTCTTGGGGACTAGCAGTTGGCGTAATAGCTATGTTGCTGAACTCCCATGTAGTCGACCACGGTTCGTGTCCTGGACCCAGTGGCTTAAATTCACACTGGGCACGTGTGCATGCATGCCCAAGATCATGAGAGGAGAATAGAGCAGAAGGGATTGCAGCATGGCCCTCCCCGCTGGGGGGTGATTTCTCGCTTTCTGTCTCTGTCTCTCTCTGTCTATCTGGCGAGTGCATGAGCCCTATAGCAAAAACCTCTCTAAAAAAATTTTTTTTTTTGAGCACTAATGGCTTAAAAATGTAAATGTCCATTTTTATATTTTAGTAATGTGGAAGTAACTTTTTTCTTATGCAGCAGGTAGATGGACTCTGTGATGATATTGATGACTCTGGACCATCAGACCTTGAAACTAGAGTTATAACTGCTCGTGTTACCTCTGTGAGCCGAGATGCTGTGTACATTGATGAGGAAACTTATTTCTCCCTAGACATTGCTTCTGAAGGTATGATTTATACTTATAGGAAAATGTAGTGCATTTTTTTAGAGAATTTCAGTACTAGAATTTTTTTCTGCAGGTATCTTGGCCTAGTCAACAGTTCTTCAGTATGTGAGGTGGGCCCTTGGACTTGAAAATAGTCTACGATATAGGAACAAAGAGGCAAATTTATAAAAACTCCTGCTATCACTTAGGCATGAGTGCAGTCAGTAATGCCTGGAGAAAATTTTCATTCACATAAGCTCTGCAGTTATATTCAATTAAAAGTGCTACAAGTGTAGAGAATACTATTATCAACATAGTTCATACTTCACATAACCTTTGGAGATGGCCTGTGGCATTCCATGCATGTTTTTGTTTATGTGTGTGTATATATTTCTCTGCCCATTTTTAAAGAACTATTTATTTTTAACTTTATTTACTCATTAAATAATTTTTTTTTTCATTTTGACCAGGTATGTGCATACAGAAAGACAGAGAAAAAAAGTGAGAAAGCAAGCCACCAGGTCCAGGACTTGAACCGTGGTCGGCCATGTCAGAGTGTCCAGTGCCTTAACCACCACACCACCTGCTAGCCCCCTCTGTCCATTGTTGAAATCCATTTCTAATCAGCAGATTTGTTCTAAGATTTTGGTCTTAATCAAAGCTCTACTTATTGGGACCAGCAGTTAGCGTAATGGCTATGTTGCTGGACTCCCCCATAGTTGACCGTGGTTCAAGTCCTGGACCCGGTGGCTTAAACTCATGCTGGGAACATGTGCGTGTGTGCCCAAGATCCCGAGAGGAGAATGGAGGAGAAGGGATTGCGACATGGCCATCCCCCCTGGGGGGTGATTTCTCACTTTCTGTCTCTCTGTCTCTGTCTGGCGAGCGCACACACCCTATAGCAAAAAAAAAATAATAATAATAACAGAAGAGAAAAGAAAAAGAGATTTTGGTCTTAATCAAAGCTGTACTTATTGGGACCAGCAGTTAGGGTAATGGCTATGTCACTGAACTCCCATATAGCCGACTGCGGTTCGAGGCCCAGATCCGGTGGCTTAACCTAACTCAAGAGGCGCGTACT